AGCTACAGCTTAGGTTTGACACAGAAGTAGGGTTCAACGGGGCTAAAGGCGCCCCGGGGTAAAAGGCGCCTTTGATGTTATTTTCCTGTAAACCACTAGATGGCACAAAAACGTGGTGTAGCACTTTGCAAAACATTCACTTTTCAAGATGCACGTGCATATTTGGCTGATCCTTGATGTGATTGCGGGCAGCAGTGCAGTATTGATTTTGTGCTTACTTGATCTAATAATTTATGTTTTTTTTTATGTTGTAGATTTAAGTAGCAAATGAGAATCGCTAAAATTAATGCATATACATTTTGAGACAAATTTTAAAATAAAGCAACAGTTTTTAAATAATGAAAGAATATTTAAAAGTATGGTATTTGGGGTAAAAAGCGCACCTGCTGTTGGGGCTCAAAGCACAGTAATTAACATGATAATTAATAGATGGCTGACTTGACATTTGTTGACGACATGGTTAGATTCAGATGGCAAATATCATATATTATGTTGGGTGTTCATAATAGAGATAATCACCATGTTTTGAATGAAACCATCATATTTAAAAACATGATATTAATAATATAATATAATAAAATATAATTTGTTGTTACTACTGTAAATCTATATTAAATTATTATGGGATCTCTCCTTCAATGTTTTCCGAATCTTTAAAATGATTTCGTTTCTGTATTTTAAAACATATTTTTTATATTAACATATTTTAATGACAGTATATTTATTGAACAAAAATTTATTATTTTATTTTTCAAATTAAGCAGAAAATAGTTCAAACTTTGCTAAAGTGATTGTTTTGAACACGTATTGACTTACACATGATAAAAAAAAACTTATTTTAGCTGAAGTATTTGTATCAAAACTGTGGGCCTTTTGCCCCATGCTCTGCCGCAGCAGCAGCAGATCTATTCTGCCAAGACCAAACACATTAACACTGTCATGTAAATTACCATGATAGAACTGTGGTTAAAGTATAACTTCATTCACTTCAGTCAGATAGTAGATGTGAACAAACTATTATAATTTACATAATTATATGTATTTTACCTGTGTTGGTCAGGATAGTCATGCAAAAGAGATGTTAAATCTTAAAGAGTATGTTCAAGAGGTTTTTTGTTTTTTTCTTGGTTAAATACAGGTTAATAAATACATTAATTTGTGCCATACTTGTTTTGTAGCTGTGAAAAAACACTTCTGTGATCTATTTTCATGCTCTCTGATGCGACAGTATTTGAATAAAGAGTCTCATATTGCAGCAAAATCAGAATGGAAATCAGTAATTAGTCTAAGCATCTTACGTACAGTACTAGACAAAGTTTTGCATAACATAATGTATAAAGAGTTGGGTAGGATGTAAAAGACAAGTAAATGGAATATATTGAGATAAGCAATGTAATATACTGGCGAGAAAATCAACCTTCATTCGGTCCAAAGCAGGTGAATTTGACTGCTGTGATTGACTTTAATCTGAAGGTCTGAGAGCACTATTTTCCTGCATTTCTACTTGCAGTTTTAATTAAATACTGTTCCTTTATATTATCAATATAAGACATTGAATTAAAATTTAGAAATAAACATGCATTTCATGTTAACAAAAACCTGATGATCATGTTTTCCAATGTGATTTTTCTACCTGACCATTAAAAAACATATTAAATGCATTGCAATGTTTGAATGATGCCTGAACATGTTTAAAAAAAAAACCTGATTATAGAAAAAACTTAGGACTTTCAATAGCAGAAAACTATCCAACATGTAATATTCTTGGCACTAATTTCTTTCAGTCAACAAACCTGTGAAGACATGACGATACAGAACAAGATTCAACTTGTTGTTTTGCTCGGTGAGTGTCAGTGAAAGAAACTGATGTCAGATCAGAGGTTTAGTTCAACTTAACACTATTGATTTTCCTGTAGCATGAATCCTGTCAAAGGCTTCATGTGACCTGTATCGATTTGTCCTGATGAAAAAGCCCAAGACCTGGGCAGAAGCGCAATCCTACTGCAGAGAAACTTACATGGATCTGGCAATGGTTCAGAGCGATGAAGACAGAGCCAATCTAAAGGAGGCAGCAAATGCTGTGAACTTTACATCTGTCGCCTGGATCGGCTTCTACAGTGACCCTTGGCATTGGTTGTATCAAAACATGGCAATCAGCTATGCGAACTGGGATTACAAAGAGCCGGACTTGCCTAACACAAACGAGGCCTGTGCATTTGTAAAGAGAAATGGACTCTGGGGTGACACATACTGTACTGAACTAAAATACTTATTTTGCCGAACTGGTAAGAAATTATATAACACTGTTGGTAACCTATTCTGGATCTCAACTAGAGTTTTCTCAAATTCACACTCACGCACCTTGTACACACTCCAAAAAATGCTCAATGTTTTCCAGTATAAATATCTAAACATTGTTAAATCAAGACACATTTAAAATGACTTAAGATATCAATTCCAGTTTTCTGAAAAAAAAAAATATATATATATATTTTTCTCACAAGAATATCTGCCAGTGGGGTAAGAAAAATTATCTTGTTTTCGGTCAACAATATTTACATAATGTCAAGTTTGAAATACAAGCTCTATTAGTAACGTATACACTCTTATATTTAATTTGGTATTGTGCTTCAAATGATCAAGTATGTATCTATGTCCTGACCACAAAACTGACTCTTTACAAGCAAGGACAAACTTGAGGACAGGTTTAAGTACGTTGAAACAAGAATGAACTGGTATGGCGCTCAAATGCACTGCAGAAAAGATTATGTAGACCTGGCCAACATTACAGAAGACACAGAGAACCAGGTCCTCAGAAAACAAACTTATTGGAAAGCAAGACTATCAGGCCTGGATTGGCCTGTCCAAGAATATGTGGCTGTGGCAGTGGTCAGATAACACCAGTGTATCATGGTCTTCTGTAAAATGGGAGTCTGGGCAGCCGAATAACGTGAACGCCTCTGAGGAGTGTGTGAGAGCCGGTACTGAAGGACTGATAGCTGATGACACCTGCTCAACTCCACTGCCTTTCTACTGCCGCGATAACAGGAAAATACAGCGTGTCAGATTCGCACTGTAATCAGATGGATATCTGGAAAAATCCGCAGTGATGGAGGCCATAGAGAGAAGGTGAAAATATGCTATATCTGTAACCCTATGGTGGAGAGGCTTTTCTTTTCCCCAAAAATACTAGTTATAATATTATCGTATTGGGCAAAAACTTGCTGGCTTTGCTGAAACAAGGTCAAACAACCAATTTTTGGTGGATTTATTTTTTAAACGGATTGATCGTAGCCCTAATTGATTTGTCAAAAATGACCATTGACTGAAAGCGAATGAGTGAGATCGAAAATAAGAAAAACATTCAGGAGCATGTTAATCATGTTTATGTTCACTTATGTACATGTGTGCTTGCAAACATAAAGGCATTGGACCTATGCATGCGTAGGCACGTGGGCGCATGGGCATGCTCACTCACACGCACACGCACACACACACACACACACACACACTCTCTCACTCACTAATGTTCACAAACAGACTGTTTACTAGCTTTTTCCTAGCTTTTTTTTTACAGAGATGAACTTTATTATCAAAACATTGTGGATCAGATCAATTAGGCCTATGATCAATCAGTTTCAAAAATAAATACAAAACCTGTGCTATCTGAAAAAAAAAAACAAGTTGACAAAAAGACTGAATCCAATATTTGGTGCTAATATACCATAATGAGAGAGTGTTTTAAGCTATTTCCTGTAGGTTGGTCATTTTTGACCAGGAACACCTTGAGTGTGACTTTGTTCCATTTTGAACCCCCCCATTTATCAAGAAGATAAATGACACCAAAATTAAGTCAATATCTTGCTTAAAACTAGCACAAAAAAAAGTCCAGTGGGCTCAGAGAGTGCTTTCACTTTGACTAAAGTTTACATTTTCTGATCACAGTGGCAGATATTTTCCCTGGTTTTTACATAAGAACACTCAATAAACTCTGTTTCTTTTCTCTCATCATCACTTTGTCTCCTGCTTCTGCTCTTCTCTGGCTTTCTCAGTCAACTTTTTGGCTGACAGAAGACTGTTAAAATAGTTTTGACATCTGAATTACAGTCATTTCTTTTAACATTTCTCACAGAAACAACTTCTCATTTAGATCAAGTATTAAGAAAGTGAAACCAAACCACATCCAGCACGATATCCACTTGGTTAGCTGCACAACAGATGGGTTTATCTGGTTCATTTAGAGCATTTAGCCTCCATAAAGCTGCTAAATCACATGATGGTGATTCATCTACAGGGTTTACATCAACCAAATGAGTTTAGTTGGCTTGTCATGCTCATCCATCTGTGAATCTGATCAGAGATGATTTCCATGTATTTTGCTTTTGCCTAATGGGCTTCAGATCAATGGGATCCATCAATGCCATCTGGTAATGAAAGGTTTTGCATGAAGGCTGGATTATTACAGATGGATTTATGTGATTTAAACTGACATCAACCTGTTTGCCACGTTTTGAGTTTGGAGCTCTGTCAAGTTAATTCTTAATCTTCTATTTTTATTTCAACATCAATTTTCTTTTTCTACAATGGATCCTCAATGGCATTCTACAATGAAAACAATCAGAATGCCTTGATACACCACTTTTGTGTTGATGTCCCGAACATCCATTACGAGCTTATTGCTCGTTAGTATCAGTATCCCCTTCATGAGACGGAACGTGATGCTGTGATCATCGCAGACCCCTTCGTCCTGCATGTCTAAGCTACTTTAGATAAAGGTAAGGTGCACACTCACTGTTTTCCCAATGCTTGTGTTCTCTCTGTGCTGTGTGCACGTACCAGAAGGGTGAGACGAGCATCGGAGCCATCGTGCTCCAAGCTTTGTCCGAAAGACACACTGAAGAGGGACTTCAGGAGTCTGATCGAGACAGTACGCAGTACATTGCCTGTGACGAGGATTATTATGTCAGGACCGCTTCCCACATATCAATGAGGACATGAAAGGTTCAGTAGACTGTTTGCTCTAAATGAATGGTTATTGTCATGGTGTAAATAACATAAACTGCTCTTTGCAAATAACTGGAAGTAACCTAGGCTTTTCCGTGCTGATGACCTGCACCCCGAAGTCGTGTTGGACAATAAAGTCAAATCTCAAATAAATGCAATGATGGCCTCTGTTCTACCCCACTTAATTTTCATATTTAATAATAATAATATGTTTAATTTATATAGCACCTTTCACAGGCTCAAGGACGCTTTATAAGGTACACCAATACAACAAATACTCATTACAATGCATGCCATCAGTTTCCCATCCTGCTTCTACACAAGTAATGACTTCAACACACCTCAAAACTCTGTTAAAAAGACTTTGCCTGGAGCTTGAGGAAAAATAAGATACCCTAACAGAGTCAATATTTACAGCCCAAGACTGATGTAACGTTTGACCCTGCAGAGGGAGACACATCAGTAACAGAGCCAAAAGACTTTTGTAAGTTTCTGCAATGTGCAAATTGTTTAAATTGTTGTTTGCTTTAATCATAACAACCCTCTTCTTTATGGTTTGCTTATATGTATGTATATTTTTTTCAGAGCCCAAGCATGCAGTCCTGTCCAAAACATATGCAAGTACATTGTTTATGAAACGTGCATGGAGCTGTTTGACATGTGCTCGGTATGTCAGTGAAGATGTCATGTAAGATCACTGTTACGGACCATAACCTGTTTTTTTAAGGCTTGTTATATTAAACACCATTACATAAAGGATACAGGCTGAACATATAAAATAATCACAACACCTGATGTGAGTTTCAAGTCGCCTCCATTTAATTCAACAACAAAATTAAGTTCAAACATTCAGAAAACAAAGCATAACAATTCACACAAAATTATCTATAAACAGAAACTAACGAATAACAACAAAGGAAGGTTATCAGTTCGTGGGTAGGAAAGCTAAGAAAGTGGAACGCCTAACTACACCTGTTCTCCTACACCTGTTCTCGGAATAAAGTTCTTACCTGACTCCCGAAAAGAAAATAAATCAGTTGAGTCTTCCGGACTGCAGCTTCCCTCGCTCAACTCTTGCTAAATAAGCAAACGTGAACTAACAAACAAAAGTACACTACCCGCCTCTGGTTAAGAAATAAAGATTGACCAAGAATCATGTATCAAAGATACAAACTTACAAATTAAACCCAAGCATAAAGAAACAAAAGTAACCCCCAAAGAGGTGATGAGAGAGACGCCCACGAGAACAATGGGAAGTGAAGCAATAGAGCACGCCATTGCCGTCTCGGAGCCTTTTAATCCGGAATCCCCGATGACATCACATGATTTTCGCAGAGTAAGAATTTCCCCACAATGCCACCTACAGACTCATATGATAAATGTCGCACAGGTACACATAATACCCTCACCCTTAAGTGAATAAATTGTAGAAATGCCAATGATCTTACCCTTTTCTGTTTTTTTTGTCTTTTCCCTTTCCCTTTCTCTTAAAAAGAGAGAGTGAAGAAACAATTTATTCCTATTAGACACGTGATAAAGCATCAGCAACGACATTATCTTTACCACGAATATGCCGAATGTCTAGTTCAAACGTCTGCAAAAACAAACTCCAACACATCAAATGTTGATTATTGTTTTTCATTAAGTTTAGGAAGACTAATGGGTTATGATCTTTGTAGACAATCAACGGATACTAAACAGAACCCACATAAACGTCAAAATGTTGGAGAGCAAGGACAAGAGCTAGTGCCTCCTTCTCAATGGTGGAGTAACGTCGTTGATGTTTATACAATTTTTTTGAAAAATAGCAAACGAGATGCTCAACACCAGTCTGATCTCGTTGGAGAAGTACAGCTCCTGCACCTGTTTCACTTGCGTCAACAGCAAGCAAAAATGGAGATGAAAAATCAGGAGCAGAAAGAACAGGGAAATTAGTCAGAAGCACTTTGATCTTTTCAAAACTCACTTGACACGATTCCGTTTTTTTAAATGGTACTTTGGGACTGAGGAGATCCGTTAAGGGAGAGGCAACGACAGTTATTTTTTTACAAAGATTCGTGTAATACTCAAGTCAAGTCAAGTCACCTTTATTTATATAGCGCTTTTAACAATACAGATTGTGTCAAAGCAACTGAACAGCATTAATTAGGAAAATAGTGTCAATAATGCAAAACGACAATAGTAAACACTCATTTTTCAGTTAAAGACAGTTCATCATTGAATTCAGTGATGTCAACATCCTGCTCAGTTTAAATAATATCTTTGCAATTATGTCAACGATAACGCTGGAAATGAAGTGTCCCCAACTAAGCAAGCCAGAGGCGACAGCGGCAAGGAACCAAAACTCCATCAGTGACAGAATGGAGAAAAAACCTTGGGAGAAACCAGGCTCAGTCGGGGCCAGTTCTCCTCTGACCAGACGTACCAGCAGTACGGAAAAATCAATTTAAGACATAATAAAATAAAACGTCTGTAATAAAACAGACGATGAATAATATTAACAGCAATTATTATGTGATGCAATCAAACTTATAGCAAAATGTGGTAGTTCTGTATGTTGTTTAAGGGTTGGCATCATCTGAGGTCCTCTGAGGGGTTGCATCATCTCTTCTCAGGTGTTCTGATCCAGACTGAAGCTTGTGTAAATCCTAGTGACATCCCGTGGCAAAAACCAGAGGTTAATACTCAACCATTCCCAAAAATTGACGCAGCTCACGGTGCGTTGTAGGCACAGGGAAATGAATGATAGCCTCCACCTTAGACTCAACAGGCCGAACTTGCCCACCCCCAACAATCTTTCCCAGATATGTCACGTAGCTCGTCCGAATTCGCATTTCGCTAGATTGACTGTAAGATTAGCATCAGACAGACGACTGAAAAGGATATGAAGTTGTTTAATGTGTTCCAACCAGGACGCACTATAAATAACTAAGTCATCCAGATATGCTTCAATGTTGTGCATACCATCAATAACACGATTTACTAACCTTTGAAAAGTTGCCGGTGCGTTTCGTAAACCAAAAGCCACTACAGTGTAATGCAGGAAGTGATCCGGTGTTACAAACGCAGAGATCTCTTTTGCGTGATCTGACAGAGGCACCTGCCAGTAACCTTTCAACAGATCGATTTTAGTGGCGAAAGCAGCATTTCCAACACGATCCACACAGTGCTCCATACGAGGCAGTGAATAACTATCTGGTTTTGTGACCAGTAAACGCGTGGAAAGTCAGTGCAAAAGCGAAACAAGCTGTCAAACTTTTTAACTAACAAACAGGGTGAGCTCCAAGGGCTAAAACTTGGCTCAGTGATGTTATTTTCAAGCATAAAGATTACTTCTTTTTGCAACTGAGCTCACTTCTCAAGAATTCTTTTCAGACACCAGTTGCTTGTCACATTCAAATCGGTTGTCATAGTAACGACACTAATTTGTGGCGATTCAGTGCATTGAGTTCCACAAATCTGAATGCATCATTTGTAAATTGACTGTTAAGATAAACATTTTGCACAATTTAGTATCTTTAATATCATTGTGTTGCCACTAGATGTCTGTATAGCCCATAATTTACACATAAATCACACATAAATTAATTTTATTACATTTTGATTTGGATACTATATACTATACTACTAAATATCGTTTAGATATTATCAATGGCTACTTTTTTGTCTTTATCTGTTTTTTGTTCAATTGTTTTGTTGTTGTTTCTTGAAACATTGATTTAAAGTGTCAGTTATTGCATTATTATTTCAGTCAAACCTATAAAACCCCTTTGTTACCCCAAACTACAT